CAAAAAAAAAAACAAAATAACAAAATAAAACTAATTATTTCCACAGAACAAATCGAACCTCCTTTTTTTTATTTTATCTCGGAGATAAATTTAGTGTAATCAACAATGCTATTATTCATCTCATGCTGAAGATGATTGTGAAAATAATAGTTTTTTAATGACAATATTAATTAAAACTTGTAAAATATCCTCATCCTTAAGTTTGGTAGCAGCAACTATACGCTAAAGACAGTGAAGCACCTAGGAGCTCATTTGAACTCCTAGATCTGCCACGGGCCAGTATCAGAATATGCAATATTGAAGAATATTAGAATGATGGAGGTTTTGAATGGAGGCCCTCGGTAAATGGGATGCTTGGCAGGGGATTTTAAAAATTTATTCTAACAAATAGGAGGCTTTGATGAAAGATAAAGATGTCGAATCTATGATGATTTTTATCGTAGGATGGAATTAAAGGATGCTGAATTCTATTATCTATAGAGTTGGACACTAGTCAGATTGAAAAATATAGTTTGGATTCATGTATAAGGAAAAACTGCTTATGTTGACTTCCACGATGTAGTTAGCTTTGATACCAGATATCTAGTGAATAGGTATTATATGCTGTTTGCATCATTTGTGAGGGTTAATACTTAAATCACATCGCCAGTCAATTCTGCTTGGGAGTGCATTGATACGACATGAAGATGTTAAAACATATAGGTAGCTGTTCCCTCTTTGGATTTATGCTATGGGAAGCATCCCTCCAAATAGTATATCAACTGATAAATGCGAGAGCATCAATGCATCCATACACTAGGTAGAGGGGTGCTTCCCGTACCATAAATCCAAGTATGGAACAACCAACTATACGTTTCAACATCTTCCTACAATATTATGCACACCTAAGGAGAATTGACCGACGATGGTGATTAATCCTACAAATAATGCAAGCAACATACTATACCTATTCACTAGATGTGGTATCAAAGCTAACTACATCGTAGAAGTCAGCATAAGCATCTTTTCCTTGTGGATGAATCCAAACTGCGTTTTTTAATCTACCTTCAGTGTCGAGCTCCATGGAATGGTAGAAGTCAACATCCTTTAATTCCATCTTACAAAAAAAAATTCATCTAAATTCAGCATCCCCTTCTTCCCTCTGAAGCCTTCTATTAGTTAGAATAAAGTTTTTACAATCCCCTGCCAAGCATCTCATTTGGCGAAGGGCGCTATTAAAAACCTCCACCACTCTAATGTTCTTGCATATTTTGTCACTGGCTAATATCATTTGCCTTGAGTGCTCTTTATTGGCTTTATTTCTTTTGTATGCCTAGCCATAAGCCAAGACATATCATGGTACAATTCATGGTTATGCTTATTTTACACCTTCCTTACACGACACACTCCTTCATTCGTTATCACTTTGTTAACTCTTCCCTTGCATTCAATTCTCTTACTGTGCTTGCTGCAACTAGTCTTGCCCTCTTTGTCACATGTGAACATAACATACTTACGGTAATCACCATCTTGGGTTTTAATTGTTTCTCACACCACTAAATCCTTTGACTTTGGCATGTTTCATGTCAGATCAAACACCTTACTTAGACTTGAATAAGTTGGTTGTATTATTGGGTATGCTAATATTTTTGACCTATTTTTTAGTATTATTACGTTCTTCATTATCATTGTTCGTCAAATCAGTGACTACACTAGAAGAATTAACTTTGGCTAAAATAGAAATATTACTTCCCTCGATGACCAGAGAGTAGGTTGCATATCTTGCAAAGTATCTCTAAGGATTATTGCGTGATAGTGCTGTAAGAATGTTAATCTTCTTCGTTGACTCTTTCCATGGTTGGTAGAAATGATAATAAAATGAGAACTCTCCCCCCTTAAGGCTAAGAATGTGTTTGGTGGGAATTAATGAGAACTAGCTTTTAACTTTTAACTCTTCTTCACTACAATGGAGAATAATGGCAAGGAAAAGGGAAAGAAAACTCCATACAAACAAGGGAAAGGAAAGCATGCATAACATGACTACCTATGCTAGGTAGGTACATAATTATTTGTCATTCTTTCTAGTAGTCAACTATTATATTGGAATGGATGTTCTCAAATTTGGCGGGAAAACAAAAACGTGTGAGGGAGAGGGAGGGGGTGTCTTCACGCAGCTATGGAGTTCAAGATGTCGTCAAGAATGCCCGTTTAGTCGAAGGGTATAATTGTCATATCACTATCATACTTGACATTTGGATATGTTGAAATCTATGTATTATTTTATGCGAAATTAAACGTGGAATAATAATATGTGTATTAACAGTAAGGGGAGTAAGTTATTGAAAGATAAAAGTGCCCGCAGTAATTCATGTATAACAATCTCCTCAATATTGATTTCTGCATAACAATCTCTTCATTATTGATTACTGCATTAATAATCCCTGAATAACTGGTATATAAATCGAAACCCCTAAAAAATGCAGTTGATTTAAATAGAAACATCAGGATGAGAGGTGCCAATATATTACAGGCTTTGACACGCATTCCTTGCGTATGCAAACACATTGTATCCCAGACCTACACTTGTGAAATTTTGTTATCCTCTTCCCGTCTTCCCTTGAATGGTAAAGCTCCAAATGAATTCCATGTTCTTTATCAGTAGCCATATTCTTTCTTTTCAAAAGACATTTGTTATCAGCAGCCATATTCTTTTAATTGAAGCAGTCAAATCGCATTAGAATCAAACATGAATTTAGCTCTAACTAGGGTACACGACTGGAAGTCAGCACGTAGCTTGCTTTTAAAAAATGCTGTAGCTCAGGCTTTTTTGACGCTACATTCTAGTCTGGTAATGAAAATCAAATTCATTTGTATTATAAGAGGATTATTAAATGTAATGCAAAGCCTGGTTGCCGCAGACATTCAATTACAATCTTCAAGCCTTCAAAGCAGATAATAAAAATACAAGGAGGTTAGAGGATCAGGAAAACGAATTTTGGGGGGGGTCTCTTGCTTTAAAGGAAACTTTCTGCTTTGGCAGTTTCTGAAAGGAATTAAAGTTTGTTTCCTACCTCCCTCCCTCACCCAAAAAAGAGAAGAAATAATACACACGGTTTCCGCTGCTCTAAATGCACTTTTGAAAAGAGATGCTGTATTCTCTTGCTTGAGTCATTGGTAAAGCCAATTGATGTTGTTTGCGCCGTGGCGCTTCATTCTTGGAGTTCTTCTGCACCACTTGACTGACACCTGTTTTCTCATTATCTTGTCATTGCAGGACCTCAAGTGTTTTGTGTTCTCTCTCATCTCTCTCCATTTCAAGATCAAACCCATTTAAGTCCTGATTCTGGCGAGCTGACACTTTGGAAGTCTGGTTAGCTTCATGTTTCTTATGTGCTAATGGTGTATACTTGATTAGTAAAGTGAATCTTTATGGTGGTGTTTGATGAATTGTCGGAGGAACAATCTTCTTTAGACCTTATTTTGTGATGAAAGGTCCTGTTTCTCTCTTTTCAGTCCGTTGTTTGTGTGTTAAGTACAACAAGGGTTTATTTTATCATGTGATGTGTTGAGTTAAGCGTTAGGATTAACATCTTTTTGCCATGGTAGACATGAATTAACATGTCTCACAATCAATGTGGCATGGAAGCTAGTTTTCGTACAAGCAACCTATTGCCCTTTAAAATAAAGTTTTACATATTCGGCAGAGCTGTAACATCAGACATCATAATCTCACAATCAATTGTGGCATGGAAGGTAGTTAAGCGTAATTTAATACGACGTCCCTTAATGGTGTCATTAAACAGCTGGTCCTTTTATTATTGTTCCCTTCTAGATTCTTCTTGCCATTAGTAGTGTTTGAGTAAAAAGTATAAAACTCTTTTGTCGAACTAACTATTGATAATAAAGAAGGTAATTCTTAGCCAAATATAATTAATTTCACATCCAAGCATATAAAGTTCGAAATAAGAGAAGAGTAAGAACGTGTAAGATTATTAATGTGATAATCGTACATCAAACATGAGAGATAAGCTTACATCTAGAGCAGAGATGCATCATAGTCATGGGAGCCAAGAAAGGGAAAAGAGGTAACTGTTGATAAACTAGAGATTCCTCCATTGTGGTTGCTACATCCTTTTTCCGAGTCCCCCTTTCTCTGGGCTCCCTCCCTATATATATAGTTCATTTCTCTTTTATCCAACGGTCTTTGACCGGCGTACTTTCTTACGACCGTGCCTTTTGCCATCTACTCGAATACAACGCTTGTTATACGATGTACGCTTTCCGATGATTTGACCCCGACGATGGCCGAGGTGCTCTTTGCTATCTTGCCCCATGGGCATGACTACATCTTGGTCGACCCCTTATCATTCCTCTTAAGGGCGACCGCTCTGGTCAGTTTCGACCTATACAGTTAGTCCCTCCGTCCCTCGAGGTCGCCTTTAAGCGGGCTCAACGGGTGAACTCTGTCGATTCGAACGTTAGGAGAAATCTGAATGTTTATGCCTTGAGCAAGGTCCTTAGGTCGTAGTGGCGGCATGACGCTTCAATGGTACCATCAGACCGTTACGTCCGTTCGGAGTTGAATCGTTGTATTGATTCGATGCATCATGAATAGCCACTATCATTATGACACACGTTTCCCAGGCATCACATCGTTTCTTGTGCCCTATCAGTTTTGATTGGCGGCTCTTGGGTTTTCCGTTTAGGACATTTATGTTCTTATAAATAGGGGGAAAACACCATTCTATTGCTACACTTTTCGACTTATCTGAAGAGTTTTGCAAACCTTTACCTTCTTCAATATTTCAAACTTCTGAGTTCATTCTTCGTACAAACCGAGCACCTTGTGGCGGACTCAGCAGGGTTTCCCGAGACGTGAAGCTTCGCCCGTAAGTTTTCCTTTATTTAGTTTGTGACTCCTCTCGATGCGGTGGCCGACTACTTCTCTTTAGGTGGCATTGCTAATTTGTTTTCTGCGTTCGCAGCTGAGAGATTGCCTCCCCTGCCCGTTGACGACATCTGCGAGTGGGTTAATGCTATTCTTCCCCATACATCAGGGGTCCGTGAGTGGGCGTCATTCTATGATAGATATGGGCGTAAGCCTCTCAAGAAATCCAGACTTTGGAGCTCAGCTTAGGGATCAAATATCGATATCGGAAGATCAGGCTTCTTCTTGACTTCGATGATTTGCCTGTAGGAGGATCATCGAAGGTTGGAGAAAGAGATAGAAAGCTGACTAGAGTCTAGTAAGTTGGCTTGTTGCAGCTTCCTTGTTCTTTGCCTTGTAATTTGATCATGTTGTTTACATGATCGTGTTTTTGTTAACAGGGAGAGTACGAAGGGCGAGGGCTCCTCTACTCGTGTTCCGTCAACCGGGGCCTTCTGCCTGGCCCGTACCGAGGTCTGCTACCCGACCTACATTGAGAGCTACTCAATTTGCACCTACGGCCGGGATCGTGTGCATCAAAATTATTCCTTAACTCGAGAATTCGGCTCCTGTTGTCCGCTCAACGGGTGAGTCTTCCCGTGCTGATAGCGGAGAGGGTCCGTCGAAGAGACGACGAGTGGAGTCTGAAATGGCTCCTTCAGCCGAAGTGTCTTCGCGGGGCGACCTTCCCTTGGCGGTGTCTAAAATTGGCGATGATGCTAACCCGGCCGCTGAGGCAAACTAGGTGTAAGAGGCCAACCCGACGGTAGAAGCTTCGGCTGTTGAGAACGATCAACAGGCTATTGCGACGGGAAGTCGGGGTCCCGAGGCCGCTGTTGCTGTTTTAGGCGAGCCTTCGTCATCCGGATCGAATAGAGCTTCTTCTTCAGCCGCAAAGAGGGGAAAGGGTATCGTGGTCGATGACTACGAGTCTGACTCCGACCTTGATCCTGATGATGTCAGGATGTTTGAGGAGGGCATTACTCGTACTGTGGTAAGAGCGGGAGGTCCCTCCCGTATACTTGAGATTCCATCGGAGCTTAATCTTTTGCGGGACACGGAGGGTTTGGTGCCGCAATTTGACCTTTTATGCTCCACCGCAGAATGTGAGGCTCTTCGGGACGTCAGCGACGCCGAATTAATGCATGAAGTGGCCGCTATGGGCCTGAGGGTAAGTTTCTCCTCTTTGTTTGTTTTTTTGTTCCTTTTGTTTTTGGCGGCCTTGGCCTTTACCGACTCTATTTTTTTTTCTTTCAGTCTTACATGCTGGAGACCGAAAGTGCTCGTAGGGCCGACACTCGGGCCAAGATTTTTCTAATGATGCTGGAAAAGTATCGGCGCTACCGCAACAAGTGCCGTGAGATGCATGAGCGGCTCAGGGCGAGCGCCGACAATCAATCTCTCGGAGAGGAGCTGGAGAAAAAGGATCAGGAGCTAATGCAGTCCATTCGCAGGAATAGTGAGCTCGAAGAGCTACTTCGTGCAAAGGACGAAGAACTTGAGTGGGGAAAGGGGGTCGCTGCAGAGTGTGAGCATCTTCAGGCGAAGGTGTTGCAATCCGAGCTCGATCAAAACACCGTTAGAGTTGAGGCTTTGTGTGCAGAATGGATGGGGAAGTTAGCTGAGCTGGAGAGGAAGAGGAAAGTGTCCGAGTTGGTGAGCGCCGAGAGTGCTCGGGCGTCTGCCTCAGAAGGGCGGCGTTAGAGGACACTATCTGTGTCCTTCAATCCGAGCAAGAATCCGAGAGGGCAAATACCACGCTAAGGGAGGAGAGGCTTGAAGAGCGTATTTGCGAAATTGACCGGGAAGCTTCAAACTTGGGAGATCGAGTTGCTGCATTCGAGGGTGAAAAGGCGCAATTATTGGCCCAAGTTGAATCTACCTCTGCAGCCATTCCTCGCCACTTGTATGAGCTTAGGGTTCATGCCGAGGCCCAACGGGACATATACAAGAGCTTGTGGGAGGTAAGCAATATTTCTGAGGCTGCTTATGAAGGAGCCCGTACGAAGGCACGAGAGGCTCGTGTCAACTGCAGCTACGACCCTGCGATACCGGAGGCCGGCGAGGATGCTGGTGCTAGGGAGGAATTTCTTGGAGATAATGATGGGGAGAACAACGGTGATGACGTCGAGTGAAAAGTTGTTGCCTTAGTATATGTTTTTTATTTTATTTATTGTATTGGGACTGTTTTGGCCGTGTGTAAGGTGCAGCCATTGTGCACGTATATAAATAAAAGGGTTGTTTCGTCGTTGTACATCCTTTGAATTTCTCTCCCTTCCCTTTGCTTTACATTTTTTGTTTTGGCGTAGACCTTTGGACTTTTGTATGGCGAATCCCTGATTTCTCATTTTGGGAATCCGATTTTAACCGGACCGAGTAGTGTCTCATCGTGTGAGTCCGAATGGAGTTTCTTCGGGTTTGTATATTTGGGCGAGATTGACTTTCGATTTGTCGCTTTAGGCGGATTCATCTTTGATTCAAACGAGGTTGAATTCAGATTCATCGTTTCAGACGAAGTCAGTTTCGACTTGAATCATTCGAGGGGGATTGAACTCACTTGCCGATTTAGGCGGAGTCGACTTTTTCATATGTATTCGAGCGAGGTCAAACTTGGAACTTGGAGTGAAGTCAATTTCTGACTTATTTGGACAAGTTCGTAAAAACAAATTTTTGTTTGATGATGACCGGTGGCCGTAAAGGCGTTATTTCGAGTAAGACCGAAATGTCAATCCGTGTAATTCGAGCGAGGTCGAATCTTTCTTTTAGCGATGGCCCTTGGCCGTAGAGGTGTTATTTCGATCCAAGGTCGGAATGTTAACCCATTGTGATTCGAGCGAGGTTGAATTCTTCTTTTGGCGATGGCCCTTGGCTGTAGGGGTGTTATTTCGAGCTAAGGTCGAAATATTAATTCGTTGTAATTCGTGCGAAGTCGAATCCTTCTTTTGGCGATGGCCCTTGGCCGTGGAGGTGTTATTTCGAATTGGTCGAAATATTAACCCGTTGTGATTCGAGCGAGGTCGAATTCTTCTTTTGGCGATGGCCCTTGGCCGTAGGGGTGTTATTTCTAGCTAAGGTCGAAATATTAACCCATTGTGATTCGAGCGAGGTCGAATCCTTCTTTTGGCGATGGCCCTTGCCGTGGGAGTGTTATTTCGAGCTAAGGTCGAAATATTAACCCATTGTGATTCGAGCGAGATCGAATTCTTCTTTTGGCGATAGCCCTTGGCCGTAGGGGTGTTATTTCGAGCTAAGGTCAAAATATTAACCCATTTTGATTTGAGCGAAGTCAAATTCTTCTTTTGGCAATGGCCCTTGGCTGTAGGGGTGTTATTTCGAGCTAAGGCCGAAATATTAACCCGTTGTGATTCGAGCGAGGTCGAATTCTTCCTCGCTCGAATTCTTCTTTTAGCGATGGCCCTTGGTCGTAGGGGTGTTATTTCGAGCTAAGGTTGAAATATTAACCCGTTGTGATTCGAGCGAAGTCAAATCCTTCTTTTGGTGATGGCCCTTGGCCATGGGGGTGTTATTTCGAGCTAAAGTCGAGATATTAACTGGTTGTGATTCGAGCAAAGTCGAATCCTTCTTTTGGCGATGCCCCTTGGCTGGGGGGGTATTATTTCGAGCTAAGGTCGAAAGATTAACCCGTT